CTCACTTTCATGAGACTGGAATGTTTTAGATACCAATGCAGGTTGAATTCATTTTAAAGTCAGATTTTGTGCATTATTAGATTCACAGACTTTCGATTGCAGAAGTATGCCATATGCAGCACTATTTACAAATAAAGTTGTGGAGTATTTCTAAAAAAAATAATACCTTTTCATCTATCTGCCGTGATATATGTGATTTGTTAGTATAGTGTATTGCTCGTTGTTCTGTTATTCTGTACATAATTGAAAAGATAGGTAGTATTCTAACCAGGCCTAACCTCTGTATTGTTTAATCAGCAGATAGGGGATGAAATATGCCCACAGTTCTCTGAGGATAGAGATAGAGATGTTTGGCTGTTAACTAGTTAATGCTATCAGATGCAATTCTGTAAACCATGCCATAGTGATGACATATTATATGGAGTATGACTGTATATAAATTCTATAATCTCTTGAAAAAATTAAGAAATGGCTCTTTCTTCTTTCAAAAGCAAGCAAAACAACAAAAACAACAAAACCACGCCTATTGTCCTATCCTAATTTTCCTTTCTGGGTAGGTTGCAGGCTGAAAATTAAAGAGCTTTAGCCATTTTCATTAGTTTATTCCCTACCTCCTTTAAGTCACATTTTTTGGATTTGCATATTTTAGACAATCAAAATAGAGCATGTATTTTATATACTTTTAGTAAAAAAAAAAAAAAAAAGAAATCTCCTTCCCTATGATGGAAAGATACACCAAGAACTGTCTTTAATGTTGAGCAAAACTACTTTTATCAAAAGAAATGCATGCAGCTTCTTGAGATTATAGGTAAAAAAAACAACTCTTCCATTATGTATTTATGTTAAACTGTTCTTTTTCTCATACCATTGTCACCTCTACAAAGATTAGAAATATAGGTGTTTAGTTATACTTCCAGCATGTGACTTGTTTAGAATCCTGCAAGATATTTCATGAATTACAGTGCAGAGTGCCCAGTGTTGGAAAGGATCTCTTAAATGACATCTGAAGAAAAGACCCAAGAAGAGCTGGCAGGCTTCTGGGTTAGGAAATGGTCTTAATCTTAGGAGACCATGTTTTCTACTTTGAATCCCATTCACAGTGGAAGATAGATGGTACTTAGCAGTGAGTTCCATAATAAACTAAATGCTAACTAGAGAATTTCTGCTTGTTTGATGGAAAACCATTCAGAATTATGCTGGGCATAATTGGTTAATTATTGGTAGGTCAGTACAGTGGTTTGACTTCAGCCAGCAATTATGCACCCACAATTTCCTCACTCCCTGTTCCATCCACAGCTAGGTATGTGAGGGAATTGTAAGAGCAGAAGTGTGTAAAAATGTGTGGGCTATTGTGGGCAGAGTTAAGGACAGTTTAGTAAGTGAAAGGAAAAAAAATCAAACAACCAAGTGATGCAAAAGCAATTACTTACCATCTTCCACCAGTGGACAGATGCCCAGACAGTCTCCAAGTAGTGGCTACCTTGGAAAGACAGTTTTATCACTGAATGAGAAAAGCCCCTAATACTGTCCAAGCACTGCTCAGCAATAGCTAAGACATTCAGGTGCTACATATCTGAAATAAAGCACTGTAGGGGATGCTGTGGAGAAAATTAACTCCATCCCAGATAGACTCAGTACTCTCAAGATTACAGGAGTCAGAATGATTTCTAAGCAAATTAAGGGAGTTGAAGAATAATACTTTGATTCCATTTGTATGTCTGTCTTTTCTGCATGGCTTTATTGCTTATATACATTATTATTCTACAATCTCCACATAGTTTACACAAGAAAACTCCTCACAATGAAAGCTTTTCCTCTAAATGTTCACCTCTTATTTAAGCAGTTTACTCCATGAGTTCTCTACTTTCAACATTTCTTATGCTGTTTGATCTCAGATCTGATTGAGCATCTCTGCAAGTGATGAGAGTGATAGCTCTTCAAAGTGTGACTTCTGGCACAACTGATGTTGGTGGTAGTTGTACCACTAATTTGAGATACTTGTGTTAAATCTTCACATTTTGAATTCTAGGGACACTGTAAAATTCAGAGTTTGGGGGATTTCTGTGCTTCAATATGTAGATTACTGCATAGTTCTGCTTCTCAAGAACTCTGGGAAAAGCACACTGTAAAGAATAAAGTAGATCCATATTTTTTCTCAAAGATAGGTTAAGTTCTTGAAGAATTGTTTATGTCAAATTTTCATTATCTGTGATAACCAGCTGTGTTCCAAGAAAGTACTGTGTTTGTATGGTGGTGTTTCTTATGGTTGCTACAGCTTCTGCTCATGTGCTCTTGCTCCTGTGTTAGTTTTGGGTTTTTGTTTTTTTCTTTTTTCTGATTAAAATGTAAAGTGTAGACTGCTCTATTTTTTAGGCAGACAAAATTTTCCATCACAGAATTGAACCAGGTATATCATACACTTAGATGTGCACGGTGAGCAAAGCTGGAAAGAATGCAGTTGTAATTTCTAGATAGCAATTCCTCACTCAGAAGTATGTTGATAACCAATTGTTTTTAGCTAATAGCTAATGGCACATTTTGCTTCTTGCACAAAACCAGATTTTTTTCAGAGTCTTTACATCAACTTAAGTCCTCACTACTTGTTCTCATGTTATTACTTCGTGTAATGGCATCCATTAATGCAAAACAGAAGTTTCTGATTAAGGATTTAAATATGAGCATAATCCAGAATCATTGAGTTAAGGTTGACTATGTACCCAACTTTGACTACAGTACTTTTTGTGCATATTCACTGGAATAGTAGGGCATTGCATAAGAGAATATATTTTCTCAGGTATCATAAGTTAGCAGGGTGAAGCATCTATCAGTCACATGGTGAAACGGTTATTTAGAGTAACCTGTGCACAGTACACATATAGGGCTAAATTTTTGAAGGGGTCTCGATATTCCCTCTGATTTTTATATCTTCAGTCTATTTCATGAATATATGATAAGATTGAGATATCTGAGTTTTTGACTTCAGTCACTAATTGACATATCTTAATCCTTTCATATATTTCCATAAAATAAGAGACCATCTTTAAAAATTTCACCTAAAGTGCTCAATTTTGCCTTCAGATACCTCCATGCAACTTCCATTGAAGTAATTGGAGCTGTGCCTGCATATCTGATGGTGGAACTGGACTCATTGCAATTAAGGTACACATTAACCAACATAGTCCTTTGGAACACTCACTGGGCCCAGTGTGACATTCTGCACGTGCAAAATTTCCTAGATTGATCCCTCTGAAGTGTGAGAAGTTGAAGATTCTGATGGTAATTTTATCTTTTGCCTTAAAATTGTAGCTGTTGCAGAACTCTACTGTAATTTGCTGTATTTAGTTTCCCTACCTTTAAATAAGAAATGTGGAAGGAGAACATGAAAACATTTTTGACAGTGATATCTTTGCATTTTTTTCATACCCAACCAGTGCACAGATAATTCACGATTTTCTCAAACTCACTATGGGTGGTACATGCAACCACAATTGTTTGTGCTTTAACACAGCTTAAAATATTCAACTCTGAAGGTACTACTTTCTTTTTTTATGTTCTTGCTTGCAAAGCACAAACAAAAAACTAGATGTGTGAAGGATCCCATAGTTAAGTAGCAAGCATAAAGCTCACTTATGGTATCTTTGGTACCTTTTAATTCATTAAGTAAATCTGTAAACATCATGATATTACACTTGTTTTTCCTTAATTTAAACTTCTCTGTGTTTTGTGATTGGAAATTGATTCCATAAAGCCTTTAAATTGATGTCTGTCTCCTGTCACTGAACTGGGAGGGGCTGTTTACAAAAATCCTGACTCTTAAAAACTAATTTTTGGAGAGAATTATACAAGTCCATGGTTGATCCAAAAGCAGAAAAAAGATTTTGCAGTGGTTTTCCCAAGTAAAACACAGGTCTTGAACTTATGGTTATACAAAAAAAATTGCAACTAAAAGAAATCATTCTTCTCGGATGTTATAACCTGTGAAAAGTGCTGAATGTAGTGAATGTTCCTGTAATTTAGAATAACCACTGATGAATATTTGGGTGTAGTTCTAGAACTGCCACAGAGTACCTGTTTTCAAGGTTCTGGTTTTATTGGTATTCCTTTGCATTTGTAGTCCAACCAACTTTAAGAATGGCAGAATAGGCAGTTCCCTCTGATAATTATGCACTACCATAAGGTTAACTTTCTTTAAGGAAGCTTTAGGCCAGGTATTTTTTCCTTTAGTGCAAGGGCATCTTTGTATGGCAAGCACAGCCAATATTGTCATCACTCGTTCAAATTGAATCAGGTACTCTTTATAGCACCACAGTTTCTTGAAGGTTTAATATTAGATTTCCTTTTTTATAGATAAATCCTAGGGAAATAAAAAATACAAGAACATACAATTTCTTTAAAGTAGAAGGAAGCATTATAAAGTAGAATTTTTAAAGGACTTGTAAAAAAAAAAAAAAAAGAATTTATTGTATCTTTTACTATAACAGATTGAATAGAAAGATAATGTTTAGCTATGGTAAGTGTTTAGGTATTAAGATTAAGATAGTAGTAGGATTTAATTGCTTTAAAAGCAGATTTTAATACCTGTTTAATGTTTTAGTCATTGGAATGCTGCTGTAGTATTTTCTACAGTTAAGCGCATATACAGGTAGATGATCATAAGTTTACATCATCTCTATTCAGACATTATAATGTTATAATCCAGCCTACCACCTAAATTCTTTCACTCTCTTCATATCTGTTGCATCAGCTTGATTATATGTAAGAAATTGGGATGTCTGCCCATTTTCAGGTAAAGACTTCTGGCGATGGAAGTGGTTGATTTATTGATGTTAGTGTTCCTTTGTGATGTTTTTACACCCTACTTGTTCTACATGTCTGTACATTTCTTTGTTTTGTTTAGATGGAAATAAGTTAAAATTGTTGCTAAACCGGTTTGTTTGTTTGTTTGTTTTCCAGAAGATCTTTCACTCTTTTTAATTGATTTTCATTATGTGTTTTTGCAGCAAGCTTAGTAGTGGAGGAGCGAACAAGGCAGATGAAAATGAAAGTGCACCGTTATAATCAGACGTCAGGGTCTGGTTCTAGTCAAGAACATGAGCGTGAGCAATATACCAAGGTAAAGTTAGCAGTATTAAGATGATACTTTGGCTTGAAAATTGAAGATATAAACATGTCTATTTAAAATATTATACCACCCTCAAGAACATTGTATTATAAAGACTGACAAAAGGGTCTTCAGTAAGGGCTTTTTAGCATCGTTTTTACTCCCATCATGTACTTTACACTTAGACTTTGATTTTACCTAAAATGAATCTGCAAAAAGCAGAACACTTTAAAAAATTATTCAGGAAAGAAGGATTCTTCAACAGCTGTTAAACAGAGCCATGGCACCATGATTTTTAAGTCCCAGGTCTATAAATTGTTGGGGGCTGATCTTTTATTCTGCTCTAGGCTTTTGCTGCTGTGTCATATACAGAGAGCTAGGCATGATTAGATCCAATCTCATGCAGCTGTTTTCATACTTATGTAGTACTTTTGCATTCTTATGATATCATAGATAAAGTGTTTTCTTTTGTAAGCACATACCTGTTACCTTGATCTCCTTTTCCACTAAAAATGTAAATATTCCCTTTGATCATTGAAGGTATACAAAATTACATGAATGAAGTTATATAGACAGAACATATATATTTTTCTTGATAATGCTGAAATGCTATCCCACAGGCATGTAAGTTCAAATCTCTATAGACTTCCAAGCAATCTGCAGAAGATCTCAGAAATCCGGGCTTCCTCTCACAAGCCAAGATGTGAGGGGCTGGAGCTGAGTCGTGCTGAAGTCCTGCTGCCTTTAGAAGCCTAAGAGAGGGGTAATATCTGCAGAAGTTTCCTTTTTAGAGATGCAGCACACTGTTTCTGTAGCGTAAGTCAAGGGCAAAGACAAAACCAGCTATTCATTAGGGTTTGCAAAGAGCATTCCTGCAGTTCTGTTCTTCCACCGCCACCAAGTGTGTCAGTAGTAGTGTGTTGGCAATGAGTAACCACGGGATGGCACTGCAAATGTAAAAGTCCACTGCAGAAAACTCAAGGACTAATTTAACGACCAAATATATTGAAGATAAGATCTCAGCAGCAGTTTCAATAAAATTACACGTTTTAATAATTAAGACCTTAAGAGAGATGTTTACAAGAAGTTCTTCATATCAATAAGATCTTAAAAGCATATTTAAAAGAGACAGCCTTTCAGTTTGTGAAGTGGTAATGTACAGAAAACAACAAACACTGACAGTTTTTCAAGAGCTGAGATGTCAGTGTACTCCTGGCATTTGTTATGGTAGTGCAGCACCAGGCTTTTTGTCCCTGCCCCTCCAAAGTGTCCCTTCTCTGTGTTCTACAGACTTGGTGCTCCTGTAAACACAAATTAAAATAATGAATAACAGAAGGTACTCAGCAGTGCAAAAGATCAGAAATTCACTTTAGAATGGGTAGTAAGCAATTAGGCATCTACTTTGTATCATCATCTTTTTACAGTTAAATATGGAGACAACTTTATAATGAAGATGTTTCTCTTTTTGAGACCACCTCACTGTAAACACTGAATTTAAAACAGGGAAGAAAAATGAAAGAAACAAAGCTTTACATCCTCTATTACCAACTGCCAGCTATAAATGTTACCTCCCCCCCCCCCAAAAAAAAAAAAAAAGAAAAAAAGAAAGGTATTGGCAACCTGCCCTAGTTGGCCCTGCTTAAGCAGGGTTTGGACCAAACAGCCTCCAGAGGTCCTTTCTAACCTCAGGCATTCTGTGTTTCTCATCAGAAGTCAGAATTTGCATAATAATTTTAATATTTCATTTACTATCATTTAATATCGTGCTGACTGTGTCAACTCAGGACAAGAGAGTGAGATGCAATGTGTCTTTATCAAACTCCCAATGAGTTCACATTTTTCTAACTTGGCAAAATGAGCTCAATAGTGTTTTCAAGAGAGAAAGGGAATGTGTGATGTGAGGACATTGTCAAGGATGACTAAATTTTTACTTTTTTCAGATTTATGATTTGGCCAGATTTATTATTTGGTATACTTGTCTGACTAAGGCTAATGTAGATCTGGTGTACAGTTAAATGATTGGAAAAAGCAAACTGCAGTGTTTCCCTTATCCATTCATGCTTAGCTGTTTCTACTATTATCTTTATTTCTTAAACATGTGGAAATTAAATTTGAAATTTCAGCATGATGGATACTAGATGGAAAGAATTCTGCTGAAGTGTTGTTTGTTCACAATGTCCACAACTCTAGAGAAGCAAATTTTTTGTCCATTTTTATTAAAAAAAAATATTTTGGAAGTACTTCATATTCTGACAGATGTACTCCTTTCCATGCTATAAAAGAGGTAACTATTTTTAAACATCTGTGTTCTTAACAATTAATTAACAAATTAACAAAATTATCAAAATTAACAAATTTTGAATAGGTAATTATCTACATTATACTGGTCTTGATAGCTCTTGTACACTAACTGTACTCTGCTGCAGCTGTTCTGGTTTTTCAAAGATTGTGCAACACATTTTTTTAGGTCTGTTTAATTAAGAGAGTTACTGATCAGAGCACTGTTGTGGTTACTTAAAAGTACATCACTCTATATTTAGGTGTGCTACCAACTCAGTTAACACTGTATGTGATTTGAAATCATTTAGCATAAAATGTATAATCATGCCATTAGACTACTGGTAATCTAGATTTAGGTTGATAGTTAAAGCCTAGAAGGGTAGAATGGATAGGAGATATGGATAAGAGGCTGACTACCAAAGTTTTATATGATGCTGAGCAGAGCCCCTGTGGCTGCAGTAAGGGATTCTTTTAGAGGCTGATATCAGCAGTAATTTTTTTGATTCCTCTTGCATTGGCATTCAAGTAAAAGTTATACCTATGTATTATTTTGATAGTCATTCCAATACTGGTATGGTTTCAGAACATTCATTAAGATAAATTTGACTCCTGGGCTTTACTGCAACTTTCCCGTGGTGTGACTTGCTCATTTCTGCTGTTTCTGGTAAGGAAGATAAGTGAGGTTTGCAGTAGGTTGAGTTGGATATAAAGGCACCTGATACACTGGTATTTCCTGGCCTCTTGACCATCACGTGGGCTGCTCCTCAGACACAGACCCAGGTCCTGGTAGGAGTCACAGTCTAGACACACCACGGTGGTGGCTGCCAGGCCTTGAATCCAGGCAACATTCATAAGAACCTCTGCAAATAATCTTAAAACTGGGTGTTTTCTGCCATGATTCAGCATTTCCTGGCAAAATTCATCTTTAGAGTGAGGTGCCTCAGAAGGCAGCTATATGCTCAAAGACCCTCTATGAACCTAGATTCATTAACCTAATCCCCATTTGATTTTCTTATTTAAAACATTTTTGGACATGCATTTTCAGGAGTTAGACACCTGAGCTTTCCCTGTAGTCAAAGGAAGGAGCACTCCTTCACTTGTCAAAGCTCTTAACTATTCTGTCCTCCAAATGTTGAGGACACGTCTAGAAATAAAACTTATTAATGTGAAAGATAATTATAATGAATTATTACATTACTTCTAAAATGTGTCAAAATCACTAAATAGCTAATACTGCTACACATTATGCAACTGTGAAAGTATTTATGAAGTGCACCCATTGTTTTTCTATGCTCTTTTCACTGGTGTCAACACATTTGCAGTTCATCATAACCCTTTTGTACTCCTATTGCTGGCACAGAACCGACTCCGTAGGTGGTAAAATGAATGGAGAACTGCATGTTAAGGGTTTATATTTCTGATAATTATATTGGAAAAAACATGTTTATAATATGAAAGTGAACTAACAGTGCAGACAGTATAGGGATTTGAAGCTAGCTGTAAAATTCAGAAACTTTCCTAATGTGAAAAATAATGCACTTCAAAATAGAAATTATACTCAGGCTTTAACTGTGTAAGACATAGAATTGAAAGGGAAGGAACTGCACTGAAAATTCACTTAATTTGGAAGCTTCATGTAACATTCAAATGTAACATGACAAGGAAGTGCATTACAAATATATACAGTACGCTGAAGAGGAGTAGGACTCTAGATGAGAGGGACTGTATGATATTACTATCAATTCCAAATGGAAAACTTGCAGGCCTTACTCTACTGAGAGTATCAAATAAGAGGATCTCAGCTTGTGACATTATTCCTCTGAAAGATTAATTCAGGAGTATTGTAATGGTAAAATAGTCTTTTAATGATCGCTAATGTAAGAGCTCTTCACTTCTCTCTATATTTGAAAGAAAAAAAGTTAATTTCAATGTGCTCTCATTTTCTTCATTTGTTTCTTTCCCTTCTCTCTGCCCCTTCACATTATTTGAAATTAAAATGCTCTTTCAAAGGAATTAAAAGAAAATTTTGAGTGGCAGCAGTGCAAGTTATCTATACAGATCTTCTGCCCAAAGTTCTCTAGGAACAGGACAGATCAGTTGGCACAGCTATACTCAAATGCCTTGTGCTGCTAGATCGGAGAATCTGCAAGAAAGAAAGGGAGAAAGCTATGTGAGTTCTTGAGTTTTTTGTCATCCTCTCAATCCGTCATACAGGCTCTTAGGATTAGGGCTCGGGATATTAGTTAAAGTTACTGTTTGATTGCCAAACTGTACTGAAAAGGGTGGGCAGGCAATAAGAAGCTGACAATGTTGTATGCTTCCTTTAGAGGACAGGGAATTTAGCAGAAGGAATGGCCATAGTGAGAAAGAGCTAAATCCCTAAGAAGTAAAATGTAAATGCTGCAACACTCAACATTAGATTGCAGCCTTGCTACTTCTTGTGCTAATCTTTGCATCCGCGAAGGGAAGGGTTCTCTCTTCCTTGGGAATCTCTATATTTTATGCTGCAGTTTTGATGTTGGAATACCAAAGCAGTAGAAGACATGGCTTTAGTTCTTTCTTCATCTCCCATCTCACAGTAAAATTATGTATGCTTAGATATTTTACCTATTTTCAGGTGTGTCATCTTAGAAAAATTTAAAAGATTCCTTTAGGAATTATGTGGGATTTTTGCTTAAAATATCAAGACTGGCTCAGTAAATCTGGAAAAAGTTAACCTTTTCTTTTCAAGCCTCTAAACATTTTTATTTAACCTGACTTAAAAAAATACTTTCATATCTTATTGCTTTGATTTTTTTTGAAGCATAGACTTCAGAAGAAAAATGTTACCCAATGAGTTTTGATGTAGAGAAACTGTGAGTAACCCTAGAACGTGTGCTGAGATGCTTAATTTGTGTAACTCCAGTTTTTCCTACAGACTCCTATACTCACCATCTTTATTCCCTCCCATTCTCTACCCCAGTTAGTTTCTTCATTTTAGTTGTTTTAACAAGAGGTTCCCAGGTGTGCTATGGAGACCTCTAAGGTAGTTGCTGACAGGCAGTGGAGTACTAGGAAATAAACGTGACTAGAGGATAGGAGGAGATGCATTCATTTGTACAAACTTAAGATGATGTTAGCCAGGGTTTTTAAGCTAAGTCATGACATTTGCCAACTGGCTCAGCCTGCAATCTAATGCCTACTTCAGCTGGGGATACGCACAGATGGTTACAACTTTGAGTATAATTCATACGTAAACTTCAATGACTTGCAGTTTTGTAGAGCATATCCAGAAAGTGAACTCTGTAGAGCATTCTGTCAGAAATTGCCTCATCTTGCCATGTGTTCATAGTTTTCACATAATATGCCCTAGAAAATATGCCACTGTTGGAATCCCTTCTCAGCCAACTGTCCCTTTCTCTCTAATGATAGTGAATTTCAATTTTGGAAACCTGGCAATGGTTTGATTCTCATATCTCTGTGACGGAATAGTTACTTTAGATAATTTAGTTAAGTGTGATATTTCTGGGACTGAAGCTTCTATTTTTGCATGTCTTATTGATGATGTGGGTAATACAAGTGTTACATAAAAGACGGCGTGGATTTTCAGTCAGTTAACTAACCAAAGTTTTTGCTGTTGATAAAAGTGTACCGATTTCCAGCCCTCTCCACATATTCTTCCTGACAGGTCCTCTGTTAGTTCTTATGCTTGTGCACATGTAGAAGGTCAGGGAACCAATCTGTTTGAGAACAGATATTATTTTTACGGAGTTAGCTTTCTGCTTTACCATTTCTGAAGTATCACAATACAAAGATATAACTTGAGAATTGAAATCAACCCCTCAGAGCCAGCTTCTTCATTCAGACTATATAAAGTTCTAGTCTCGCAAAAGAACTCCGTGCAAGTATTTCATAGCATATTTTTTAGTATTTGAAAAGTTTAAAAAAGATCTACAACCAAACAGATTATATGCGTGTGCTTGAGAATGTGTGCATACAATGCATAAATATTTCCTCATTGTAGTTCAAGAGTACTGAAGATCCAGCAACCTTTTAAAATTCCAGTGCTGTAATATATTTCAAGTATCTGATCTATTCCATAAGTATCAATTTTTAATTCTTCATTAGACATAAAGAGATTATTTAATATGAATGTTTCTCTGAATTCATGGAATGTTGTTAAATTGAAAAGCAGCTTGACAGAATTGTCATACTTAGGTCACTTGTTGTCTCAGTATATACATTCTGTTTTGATGAGACTCCTCACCCTTTCTTTTCTTAATCTCTAGTATAACATACAAACAGATCAGTACAGAAGTTGTGATAACGTCTCTGCCAAATCATCAGATAGTGATGTCAGTGACGTATCAGCCATTTCGCGAACCAGCAGTGCCTCACGCCTCAGCAGCACAAGTTTTATGTCAGAGCAATCTGAACGCCCTCGGGGCAGAATCAGGTGAGTTCTCAAATGCAACTTCAACTGCATCACACCTCCTTTTTGTCTATCTGCCAAAATACAACCAGAAGTTATTGAAAAGCCACAGAAGAACTTATGAAATATGCTTGTGTACATATAAACTATCTTCTGTTGCTAGCCTAACATGATGGTAGTTTTTTGCACTTACACATCTACAACAGAAAGCAAAAGTTCCTATTAGGTTATGTATCTGTGGGAAGGTGGACATAAAGGCATATTATTATCTCATTGCGGGTTGTGAATCAGTGTAATCTACATGCCAGTAAGGTATTACAGCAGAAACATTGCTAATTTTGTCATCTAAAGAATTTATTTCATAAAACCTCTCTTTTTCTTTCTATGTGACTATTTCCCTATATGCCTGCTTCTGTCTTGCTGTTTTCATGGATGATGAATTACTGGCTGTGAAACTAGTATTTATATAGTAATTTTAATATACCTACTTTGAAAGCTGTTTAATTCATTTGCATTATCAGTAATCAAATGTCTTTCATCCTTGATAGTAATTTACTTCTCAGTTTAATGCTTTTTTAAATATACAGATTGGATCCTGTCTTCATTTAACTTGATGACAAAACTCCCACCAGTTACAGTGTCTGTAGGGTTGGCTTGTTTGTCTATGTTAACATCTACAAATGTCTGAACTCTCAAAAATATGATTTTAAGTGTTAAAAGTCAGGATATGAATTAGGAACCATATATAAATATATATGTGTATATACATGCCTATGGAGAAAATCAATCTGATAAAATTCTGGATGGCATCATATAATACTTCAGAACATTTTTAGACAGACTCACCACTCATGACATTTAGCTGAAGGCTCTTTAATCTGTTTACACAGTGGGGAGGAATGTTTGTGAAAATCAGAATGGGGGCTCCGTGTATGAGCTAGCTCCACTTTGATTTATTGTTAAAGAAAGTTCACAAGTATGTTCCAAGTCATGCTTTTGATGAGTGAACACAACCTGTAAATGTAAAAGTTATTCATGTGTTTAAATTTATTTCAAATTATGTATTTAAATGTTGCATTTCATTGCGGCCTATCTTTTTTTCTATTCATCTCTTACAAAGAGCTTTAATCATTCTGAAATACAACTTTTTTCTAAATATTGGATTTCCTCACTTAGGCCTTGTCACAGTATTTGTGGCAGGCTGAATAGCAGACGATTTTTCCTATAACTATCTCTTTGTTGAGAAAATTTTATCAGGGATATTCTTGATTGGAGAATGATCAGATCACAAATATCAGAAGAGAATCAACCCAAGAGAACCAGTAACATTATACTATGGGAGAAAGGAGAAAACCTGAGGTTAGAGATTCACCCTCATTCTACTTCTTCCATTCTGATGAGTAGCAGAGCATTCTGTCTATAGAGTAGGCCGACACTGTGTACAAAACTAATAGCCTGCAAGGAGAGCCTTGTCGGTTAGAATTCAGATAGAGCATCTGAATTCTATCTGATAGTGTCCACAACATTATGTCTAAGATGTGAGGTACTCTATACTTGCTTGCTTTTTTTTTCTTTTCTCTCTTTAAGTTCAGATAGTACTTACATAGTGAACTAAATATATAGTAATAATATGCATTGCACATCTTTCAGTAGAAATACGAGGAAGAAACTAACATTTATATGTTACTCATAATTTTTTTTAATTATTTTTAAGCCTAATGTGGTTTTGTTTCCCTAAAATACCCAGCAAGGTGAAAGATACCTCATGCAGTTTAGCCATGGAAACCCAAGGGGCCAACTGTCTCCTGGGATGCAGCAGGCTCAACACTGCCAGCTGGGTGATGGGAGAGATTGTCCTGCTCTGTTCTGCTCTATGTGGCCACACACCTCAAGTGCTGTGTGCAAGTTTCAGCGCCACAATGTCAGAAGGACATCAAACTATTAGAGAGTATCCAGAAGAGCGCTCCAAAGATGGTGAAGGGTCTAGAAAGCAAGACATATGAGAAGCAGCAAAGGTCCCTGGGTGTGCTCAGCCCAGAGCAAAGGAGCTGAGGGGAGGCCTCGTGGTGGCTGCAGCTCTTCACAGGAAGTTCAAGAGCAGCGCTGAGCTCTGCTCTGTGTAACAGTGACAGGGCTGAGGGAACAGCATGGAGCTGGCAGGAGAGGGGCAGCTGGAGGTTAGGAGGACGTTCATCTGCATACAACAGGCTCCCCAGGGCAGTGGGCACAGCCCCGAGCTGCTGGAGCTCAAGCATTTGGAGACACACTCTCCAAATGAGATCATTTCGACCATTTAATGCAATTAGTGTATTTTAAAATCTTTTTGATGCTACGTTGAAAAGTCTTTTATCCAATAGGTTGGTGTCCACTCTTCAAAATTTTCGATGTGAGTTGCCGACACTTTTTAGTGATTGGATATTGTGGCTATGAAAGGTCACGTTCCTTGAAGACATGGAAAAATAGATATCATTGTGATTTTATATCAAGCAAGGTTAGAATGAAAGGAAATTGGATGTTTGTGAGAAGAAAGAAGGCTTTTTTCTTATGATCTGAGGAAAAGTTAGCTTCCTTGTCATCTGTGACAAGCAGCAGCTTCTGTAACACAGTGTTTAATCTCTTCTTAGCACCGTTTCTAATTACATAAGAGTAAAACGTTGATTTGGGAAAGGTTTGATTGTATTGTGAACAGTTTTTCAGAGTGAGATTCAGCCTTAAAAGCTGTATGACTACAGTATAATTTATATAAAATTAGATGTTTATTAAATAGCTTATGAAACTTGTCTAAAGTATCGTTAAAAAGAAGAAAACTCCTTTTATCTTAGATCATTTTCTTCTTAAGAGAGATCAAAAATGAGGCAATTATTTTTTTCTAGCATTAATTGTTAAGGGAGCCTTAGATAACTGGTTAGGATTGGTTCCTTTAATTCTGACATCTAACATTTAAGTTAAATTGAAATTGATTCTTGTTCTTAATGTTTCTTTAAATTCTATGAATTAGAAATTTGAAGTTCAAGTTTTGTTACTAAATTAAAGTTCAAATATACTTTTTCCTCTGATGAACCTGATGTTAGCATATATCAAGTATGAGGAGAGGTGATAACTGAGCAGGAGGGGCAAGGAAAAGAGCATTTTTAAACTGCTTGTAATCCATCTCACTGAAATCACATTTCCATCATCATCTTCACTTGGAAATGTGTCAGCCAAGTGACCGTGGCAAGTGTATGAGTGTAATGTTATGTTTAAGGCTCAGAAGTTCTTTGAACTGCCAGTTTTACATACTAAGTTCTTTTCTCTGGATATCTTTTGAAAATGAGAGCTGTAAAGAACTTAGTAAGCATATAGAAGCTCAAACAAATTGCTTAGTTTTACACATCTTACTAAATTAAGCTTATCCAAGTAATATGCTTCAGTACCTTTTGTGTTCAAGAGAAAAATACCAGCCTTCAGAATACACCAGTGAGATTCCTGCTCTGAATCACCTTTGGAAAGGTTATCTCCATTTCTCTCTCCATTGAGTTGAGGAGACAGAATCCTACAGCTGTTCACCAGCAAGCTAACTATCTTAAATAGCAAAATTTAACTGGAGAGTACTGCAGCCTTCAGATTGTTAAACTATCCTCTTCTAGCATTCCTACATGAGCCTAAAAGTGTTGATTAGTTATTCATATTTAGAGTTGTGGTGTCAAATTTCTGAATGTGAAATAAGCCAGATCATTTTAAGACGGCAGTAGTTCTAGCTAATGTTGTTAGTCAACATAACCCTGTCATGCTTCATTTTATTGCAGTTCTGGAAAGAGATATAAATTAAGCTGTTAGGCAAGTGAAAATACAAAGTACTGTCTTAGGGCTCTCAGTAAGAAAGCAACAACTTTGCTTTTTTGTGCAAAATATGATTACTCATAAAGGTCAGAAGGACTGCAGTTTCAGGTCATAGTGACTGCAGTTTATATCCGCTAACTTTACCACCAGCCCCATCAGTGTTAACAGTTGGCTGACTTTGTCTTCCAAGTCCTCAGGAAGGAAAAGATCCTCAAAAAAAAACTAGATAAAGCTAGAAGAACTGATTAGATTTTGATAATTTGAGATTCTATCATTTTGGATAATATATTATATGTTATCTTATATTTATAAATATTTCTCTATTCGAGCAAATAAGACTTTTAAAACATGGCACCACATCTTGTGGCTCAAAAATATATGCAAGTTAGCTATAAATATGTAACTGTTCAAGTTCATACGGCAATTTTAATTGTGATGAGTTGCTCCTTCCACTGCATTACATTCAAATTGCATTGATCATTATGCATATCATTTGCAGAATATGCTGTTTATAGTAAGGAGGAAATAAATTGATGCAGAACAACACAGAAGTATAGCGTATCTTATCTGAATAGCTAGATAACACTCCAGATGTTCCTTGGGTCAAAACTTGAAAATATAAACGTTTCTAGTATTGAAAACTTGAGCATGTTGAAGAAGCTAAGTAACTCAGAAAATAAAAAGCAAATCTTTCCAGTCTGTTGGTCAATGAGAAGATTGTGTCTAGACTCTTTAAGAAGTCTAATTTCATTCCCACAGTGTAATTGTAATTGAATTACCTGTCAGAATTCTGTGACATAGCATGCACGCTAATCTTCACTTTGGATATTTTGTTGATTAACAGCACCTCTAATGGAGATGTAATTATGACTGATGCCAGTTCTAAATATGAGTATATAAACCAGCTTCCTCACTTCTAAATTGTTTAGCAGGTTAATATTATAAGAAATGGTTATGCGTGAATGAACTGTATGGGTCACTCTGAAAGTAATGCCTCCTGTTTATTTCCATGGAAACTACAACAGATACAAAGGGCCCAATAACTCTATTTGGTAGAGCAAATTCTCAGCTACAAAACATTGTTTTTCAATGTAGCGCCACCATTACCTATGCATTTTCATCAGTGATGACCAAGAACCTACATGCAGCACTTGTAAAAACGTACACCAGCAAATGCGACCCACTGTTTCACAGCTGCTATGATG